TGCAAAGGCCCCACGGTAAACACTGCTGTGTGCGTGTGCAAAGGCCCCACGGTAAACACTGCTGTGTGCGTGTGCAAAGGCCCCACGGTAAACACACGAGGCGCAGGCGCCTTGGAGCCACAGCAGCAGGCGGCGAGGGGAATGGGAGGAGGGAGGTCTGAGCTGTGGCGGGGCTGGCAGGAAGCAGGGTGGCCGGCAGGGATCCCCAGGGCCGAGACCGGGTGACAGGGGGGAACATGGCCACTCCAGCCTGCCTTCTGTCCTCAAACGGCGTGGGCGGGACAAAGGCGAGGGGTCAAAGGTGACTCCCAAGGTGGTGGGCCAGCAGTTCCTGAAGTGTGAGGGGGCCAGCCTGGTGGAGTCCAGGCTGGGACCGAGCTGTCCCCTCCCGCAGGACCAGCCGACCCTCGGTGGCCACCAGCACAGGGACAGCGAAGGCTGACAGGAAGACTGGGCATTTGGCCGCCCGGCTGGAGGGGAGAGCCTGGCAGACGGGGCACCAGGCCAGGGCCGCTGGCACGAGCCTGCTCCGGCCACGGCGACTGCGGGGCTGGGGTGCCCGCGGCTGCCATCCTGGGCACTCGGGCCAGGGCACCTGACCGCCCTCCGGCTGGGTCAAGGCTCAAGTCCAAGGCTGCGGCAGGGCGCCTGGGCCCCGGGCTTCGGGAGGAAGGCTGGCACCCGAGGAAAACGTTGCCAGCGGCAGGTGCCACACAGGGCCACTCGGCAGCGGAGGACAAACCGGGCCCCGAGGGGCGCCTGCCGTCTCTGGGCGGGAGGGCGATCTCCTGGGGAGGGACCCACACATTCTAGCCTTCCTCCCAAGACCACCCCAGAGCCCCCCCTGAACGGAAGGACACAGGCCACAGGGGTTTGACATGGTCAATCAAGTTTAATGCATCGTACAGCAGAAACTACGTGGCATATTTAAGACAAACACTCTATCCTCACTACCCACCGGACGTTCCTCCGTGTCCCCAAAACTAACCGTCTCAAGACTCGGCAGCCGCCCCTCCTGGTCCAACCCTTCACATCCTCCCGCGACGTCTTGACAAAACTGAACTCAAATCCATCCCAGAAGCAACGCAAATCAAGAGGAACCCAGAGCCACGCCCCAGGGGCCACGCGGGAACGTGGGATCAGCATAGTCACCAATATAAGAGACGCGTGTCTCGCACCATTCATTTTTGTTCAATAAAAGAATATAAAAATCTTGTTCAACCAGTGTTGAGTGTATTAAAATAGATCTGTATCGTACAGCACAGTTTCTCCCGGAGTCGTGAAAGTGACCAGAGGGGGTGGGGGGGCGGGGCCAGCCTCCCTCTGCCCGTCTGCCTGCACTTGTGTGTGTCTGTGGCCGGGCCGCCCGCACTCTGTTCGGCACTGTGTGCCGGGCTCCTGGGTGCGTGTGCGTTGTGCGGGGCTCCGGGTGGCCAGGCCGGGGTCCACCTGAGCTCCAGGGCACTGCGGGCAGCAAGGATTCAGCGAGAGGAGGCCCCCGCAGTCCCCTGGAGACCCCCTGGGTGCGGTCCGGCTTCCTGGAGGAGGAGGAGGTGTTCTAGTCGTACCTTGAAATGGGAGTCTCACAATAAAACCGCCCGACAAAAAGGTTATTTTTTGGCATCGTGTCTGTTCGTGGCAGGGAAAGGGGCTGGAATACGCGTTGGCTGTTCGGCAGGAGCCGAGGCCTTGGCAGGGGCGCGGAGCCAGCCCGGGCTTCCCAGCGGCAGCGGCTGTCTTTGCCCAGGAACTCCATGAGAAAAAGACACCCAATAGCAAAACGGATCCGAAAGAAGGGCCGTGGGAAGGAGGCGGGCAGAGCACTTGGGGCCCTGGGCGGGGAGGGGGCGCGGGGCGCGGGCTCTCCACTTCCTCCTCTGGGGAAGCTGGCCCAGCCTGGTCAGGTCAGAGGCCGCCACCTCAACCTAGTTAATACTGCCACGGGGCGGCTGGGCTGGCTCTACCTAGGCTGCCTGCCCTCCTCTGCTCGCCGCAGCGCGGCCCAACCTGTGCTCTGCTCTCCTCCCGCGGGCCCGGCAGTG